CGTGTCTATTAAACCTTTGACAAAGTCTTACCGGATCATTCAAATCTGTGTTCGCACTCCCGCTGACACACAGAGCAAAAACTATGTTTGGTTAAGAAACAGCTTCACAAACAGTCTTATCAACTACACAGTATTATTTCTGTCGTACAGTCATTCATATCATCACAGAAATACTGGGATGAAAGTTTATAATTCAGATATAAACATTGATGTCTATGGTAGCGCGACCAAAATAGAGCAAATCCGCGTTTGAAAGTAACTGCCACATAACGTTTGTGTCGATTGAATTGTTTCGCCACTAGGTGGCGAAAAGTGACTTAAAAATGTATAATTGAATGAATCATTTATTCAAGAGAATCGTTCAATAACGCTGATTCAACATTCAGTAGGTTTATGAGTGAGTCGTTGAATCATTGATTCAAACAACTTTTTCATAATTGTAATATTAAATTGGTGTATTAAATATATTATATTTTAAATACATATTACACTACCAGTCAAAAGTTTGCTTTTACAGCCTGAATCGTAGGAGAATCATGATCTCTATTTGAGACAAAAAATTGTGATTCTCAATTTATCCAGAATCGTGCAGCTCTATGTGATTGTTTTAAATAATGTTTGGTTATAGACTTGTTCATGTGTAGATCCCTGTTTCAGAACACCAGCTTGTATCTCTTTCACACCGACTGATAGCCCAGCAGTAATCTGTCTTCTGCATGGATAATGTTCCCATCTGTAATATATCTCTCCACTACCAAATGTGTCGTTCATTTGAGCGGTAAAGTGATCTGTGTCTTTATAGCGGGCAGTTGTGCTGCCATGGTGTGACCTCATTGATTTACAGTTAATCACCGTCTCCCAGAAATGATGAAAAACCTGATGACTGCTCAGTTCACTTCACAGGATTCGAACATTTGATATTACACTGCCGAGCTGTGCTTGGAGGATATCAGGAAAGGTTGGAATGAGGGGTGATGATCAGGGAATTTAGGTCCAAATGGAAGTGCTTCTTTTTTTGGCCTTGGTTCGAGGCCTGTCTCTATGGAGGGCTGACACATATCAGGAAGGGCTCATCTTTTTTGAGCCGCACAGCTGAATGCAGTAGAACGGCCAGCTGTAGCTGTCAGTCAAGCAGTTTACTGTAAAAAAAAAAAATAATTCCGGGGGAGGGGTCAATCGTAAGGGGGCGAGATGGGTGGTTACCTATAGAGGTGGAGAAAGGGGTAGGAACAGAAAGAGCGAGAGGTCTCGGTTTCCACCTGTGAGGAACACCTGACCCTGCTGCTGCTCGTGGCTCTTGTTCGAAACGCCGCTCCACTCACAGAATTCCTCCCCTCTGAGTTCACCAGCTGGAATGCTGTCGGACAGCAGGTCTCTGTGATACGGCCACAGAGCCAGCACTAAAATACAGCTGCGTCTGTCACCAACACCAAACTCCTCAATGCCCTGTTTCATCTGAACAGAGTATGACATTTAAACAGTAGCTTTATCTTTCCCTCTCTCTCTAGTGAAGTGTTTAAACAGCAGAGTTGCCATTCCACTGATTTTAATCATTTCCTTTGACTGTTGACAGTCATATTCTCATAGTGTGCGACAGGGTCTCACTCTTTATTGTTATGGCAGTGCAAGCCATATAATACAAATGCACATTGAAATATAGTTCTAGTGCATTATGATTGTCAGCTGTTGGGGAGTGTTTGACAAATGTTACACTTGCTAGTTGTGTGAGTTGTATGGTAGGGCTGGGGGGTTTATTTGCAGACCCCATTTATTTATTTTAATCCATTTGACAAATGTATATTAATATTTTCATCTGTTTGACAATTTTTTAATGTCATATTAAAATGGCTAAAACATTTTTTTTTTGTAATTAAACCAGTGTTTCACTAAAATAGCCATTGTTGCTTATTAAATTAAATGTTTAAGACAAGTAGTTAGTTAAATTAGTTACATTTTAATTTAGTTTAGAAAGTTTATTTATATATTTTTATGAAAATGTATTAGCCAAATAAAAAGCACAGTAAAATCACTGTTATATTAACAATGTTGGTTAATTTATGTTGCCAAGAGTAATATTCTGAAATATTAAGTTGGCAAAAAGTTAAAACCACTTAAAGGTCTTTTGCTGCTTTATGGAACCACCAATAACCAGTTGTTTGGCTTCTTTGGCTAATATTATGGTTGTACAAACCTGCATATTTAAAAAATTTACTAACTGGTGGGTCATTTGAAGAACATGTTTTTTATTTAGATTCGTTTCTTAGGTAATTGTGTTTAAATGTATTGTTGAAGACAGTAGATAGATATTTTTAAGCAGTGGAACTAGTAAGGGTATGGAATTATACTATTAAATTAAACAAATATTAGGGATAGTTCACCCAAAATGAAAATTCTACCATCATTTACTCACCCTCATGTAGTTCCAAACTGATATTACTTTAATTATTTTGTGGGACGTAAAAGAAGATATTTAAAAAAATACACCAGTGTTTCTTTGTTCATACAGTACAAGTAAATTATAACCAAAACTATTTGGTTACCAACATTCTTCAAAATAGCTTCTCATGTGAGAATATAACTGTCAACAGTCAAAGGAAATGATTAAAATAAAGGAGGATTTTACTGTGAAAGGCTTTTACTTACATTTCACTGCTGGTCATATATTCTCTATATAACCATGTATGTGACAAATAAAAAAATCTTGAATCATGTGTTCCGCAGAAGAAAGAATGTCATATAGGTTTGGAATGACAAGAGCGTGAGTAAATGATGACAGAACTTTAATTTTTTGGGTGAACTATCTCTTTAAAGCTTTAAAAAACTAGTCTAGACTAGTTGGTTGTTTGATTAACTAGTCTACTCGATCATCCCAAACCATACTATCATCTTTGAGAGCTCTGAACACCTTTCCCAAACCACCTCCACCATTTCATCTCCTTACTTTGGAGTTCATCAAGCAGATAAGCCAATCAATGCTGCCTAAAGAAGCTAAATTGCTAATCTTCAGTGCGGTGCAGGTTTGGTTGGATTAACCGGCTAAGATATTCGGCTCCCACGCTCGCTCTTTGACCACAACAACAACTAATTCCGACATTGGTCTGGAACCCAGCTTAAGAATCTCAGTTTAACCCAAACAAGTGTTAGAAAAACAGCTAAACCACATGCAAAGACTTTGTAAACTATTGGTAAAGGATCTTTTTGGCATTGGATCTGTTTTAGGATCTGCTGTAACCCAGGTGGAGTAAGTGTGATCCTAGATCTGAGCTGATCCAGATCTGATCCAGATTCCAACAGTACCACTTTAAAATGTTTTGTGTATTCATGGCCAATGCATGAGTGTGGGCCGCTTCTCTTGTTAACGTCAGCATGTTTTTTTTGCCTGGTGAAGGTCACCAGCTGCTGACCTGCTACTCAGCGGAGTCTCAGTGCTCTGTTAGTCACAGAAACATCCTGTAGGGCAGTGAGCACAGCACTCGTCCTAATCCATACCCTCTGTCTGTTTATTCAGGTGGGACAGTGGGGGTAGTCCCTCCTTTTCTCTGTCCTTCCATCGCTCTCTCTCGCTTTATCCTCTGTCCTTCCATTCCTGTTTCTTTTTCCCCTCTTCTCACAATTCCCACCCAGAATTCTAGTTAAACGGTCAACCCAGGGAGCATCTGCATGTCGGCCGGGTCCCGTCTTTACTGGGAAAGGCTTTGCTGGTCTCTCAGGCTCCCACAGAACACCTGCCAGCAGACAACCAGAGCAGAAATCCCCTCTTGGTCTCAGCGGACCATGTGTTTACTGTGAGATTTACGCAGAATTGGGAATCCGAATACGGAGGCTTTGTTGTTCCAGTACGGACTCGTTATTGCTGTATGGGCCTGTCGGCCTGGGCTTTGTAGGGTTTCTTATAGCATTGATCATAGTACAGGTGCTGGAGTGGTAAGCATGACTAGCCAGCCTCAACGGAGGATGTTTCAGAAGATCTCTTGATGAGAAACTCTCTATGAATACCTTATATGGAGAATATTGGAATTGGAAGTTCAGGTGGCCCATTGTATCCTTGCAAAAAAGTAGAGTGGTACCATATAAAAATGGTACCAGATAGTAATATCAGGATACATTGATATATAATATTGTATTGAATGAACCATATTCAAATCCCACGGTATTTACCCCAAAGCTTGTTCATCAAGCTTTCATCTTATGCAATGTAATTTACTTACGCCCACTTTTTCTTATTGAGTAGCAAGTTTATTAAAGGAGGATTTTCAGATTTTTTTCTTTAGTACTGTCCTCTTCTCCAGTGCAGGGATGGCTTACTCTGAAACTACCCCAAAACAAATTCCAGATGTGGAGAGCCTTGACCTCGCCATTCCTTCTGTGGCCGGCAAAAACAAGTGTGATTCTTAAGTCAGCTGCTTTCTCATGCCTTAACTCTGAAGAGAAATAAGAAGCAAAGGAAAAAGGGGAAAAGACAGAAATCCAAAGCCCCCATGAGAGAAAAGTGTTATTTGATTCATCTTTACTCGTTTAACTGTTCACCCCAAGCCTGATGTAACTACACGTCAAGAAAACTAAATATTTTGCTAACAAAACGTCCAAGACAAAAAAGTCAAAACGTTTAATTTCATTTTTTGAAAAAGGTTGGGTGACTAAATTGTGACAATAGTATGAAATATTCGCAAACAAAACATAAGTATCAGTCCAATTCACAATCCAATCAGAATACAATCCAAATCCAATGCAGAATTTTTAACATTTTGAAAAAGTGTTTTAACATTTTTGTGTGAATAAATGAGAATAAAATATAAAATATTTCACTGAATTCAAATCAAATACATAATGTTTAACATTTAAATAAAGTCGAATACCTGATTTGTTACACTTTTGTGTGACTAAAGTATAAAATATACTAAAGTATAAGTGAAACTAAAGTATAAAATATTTGCAAACATAAAGAATTGCCCTTAAAAACTAGGTGAAAAAATGTACTTGGTGAAAATTTTTGTTTCAAAGTTGAAATGAAGTGGCATGTAGCTGTCTTTTCATAGTAAACTGAATTAGGATGAAAGCATTTTAACACCCAAAAGTTATTTGAGTCCTAATTAGTGGTCGACCGATATATTGGCCGATACTTGGCATTTTTCAAATATCGGCATTGGCCGATAAGTTTTTCTGTTTGGCAGATGCAATCGAGGCGGGACTTTTATTTTGACGGCGCTGAGAGCGGCAGCGCCTGAGCACACAGTGCTCACATTCTCCCTCTTGTTCACCGTCGTCATTAACAGTTCTGTCTAATACGGATAGAAGTCTGTCTAATAATCCGATAAAACTGTTAAACAAAGGAATTAAAATGTTTACAAAGAGTATTATAACGATTGCTTTTATATTATTAGTAATAGAAAGGCAAACATTATAATACATTCTCGTTTGCCATAGCTGGGTTTTTCTCATTTGTAAATGCTTGAATGGCTAATGAAAATTAAATTTCACAAACCTTGCAAACTTAGTTGAATCCAGTTGTGAGATCTTGTGAAGTGTGCATGTGACCTGCATGATTTCAAATTATGCTGCGCTTTATGCATTTGCCCACTTTCATATTCACTGTGTGCTGTATGTAAAATGAGTGTTACCTTGGCTTTATTCGAAAAAATATGATTCCCAATGCACACAAACTTCGCAGAATACAGAGTGCTCTGTTGATTACAGTTTACATCCTTTTTAATTATATTTTTATTGAATATTTATTTATTTGTAAAAAAATACTTCTATCTAAAGTATAAGTATGTTTATTTTACAAATTTATTTTTTTGATCAATTTTCAAATTATTTCAAATTTCTTAAATATTAATTAAAATAAATAGTTATATCGGCTTTATATCGGCCACCCTGCTTTCCAAGATATCGGCATCGGCTGTCAAAAAAAAAAACAATATCGGTCGGCCACTAGTCCTAATATATTTAGTCCGTTGTTAATCTCTTCTGTTGCATCCAAAACTATATGTACAGAAACAGATATATGCAGGTTAAGATGAATCTTTCATCTGACTGATATTTGTCACCATAGCTGGGTTTTTGTTTGGGATTCCAGGCCTGTATGTGTTTGTATGTCTGCATGTGTGTGTTGACAAATCAAGTTACCGTATCAAGCCTCCATTGGGTTTCAAAGCCCTATTGACACATTCTCTCTGAAAGAGCCTCATGTGGTTAGAGCAGCCAGCCGCCTATCAGTGCAGATATGTCGGTCAACATATGGTTTCACATAGTTGCCTATGCACTAATGAACCGAAAAACACTGCGACAACATGACTTGTAAGTCTAGAATAACGGACAGATCAGATCTACTGTCTTAGTCTTTGTCAGGATGTTCAGTTTGTTTGCCTGAACTGTGTAGACATTAAACAATAGATTAGTCTGGCATCTTTCCAGACTCCAGAGAGTGACATGAAACCATATTAAACACTCTGTGAAGGTTTGTACAGCTGTGTATAGAGTTAGTTATAATAGATGTTAGTGCTGGGCGGTATAACGGTTCATACCGAATACCGGTGTTTATTTTTGTTATGATATGAATTTTTTAAATACAGCAATACCGGTATATGTCGCTTAAACAACGTTCGGAACGCGACACTGTTTGAAAGGGGTCCCTTTTCACTGTTGCACTGTGGTGAGGGAAAAGCTGTATGTTACTAAGCATGAAAGTTCCGAAACTGAAGCTGTAGAACTAATAGAACGTGATGACACAGAAGAACTCATCCACAATATCCATATTGACCGCCACAAATATCCACCGCCCCCTGCCATCAGCTCCCGCGTCACACGAGCGTGACTTTAGCACTAGATTTAGCAATTTTCAGACCCTTTTAGCGGCTTTTTCCCATAGAATATTCATACTGACAAACCTAGCGACTTTTTTGGATAAACCTTAGCTATGGTTCAGTTGGAAGATTTTGCCAGTGCTGATATAATTTTCTTTCCCGGAGAAGTGTCACCTCTCTCGGCGTCTGTTCTGTGCTGTGAGCGGCAGTGAAGCAGAGCATTCAGTTGGCCGCACCGCAGCCGACTCGACAATACAAGTACAAAACAGCGTTTCCTAGGACCTGTCGCTTCCTGATTGTTTGGAATTATAAATATGAGCGTAGTTCGTCTGTTAATATCACATGCACTTTTTTTATTTTTTTGGTTTGTTACTCAGACGCAGGCAGTGTACTGCATGAGACAAAAAAGTAATATAGCCAAAACAACCGCATAGCTGCTCTTTAGTGTAGATGCATGTTGATTTTATCAGACGATGCCGCAATTATAAATGAGTGACTCCTGGTTAACATGTATTAAAAGGGGTCGTGTTTAGTCACTATTTAGTGTGGTATTTTTTTTACAATATTCACTCATCATGACTGTAAAATAGGGCATTCTAAGTCAATATACTGCAGTATTTCCTCTCTCAATTAGTAGAAAATATGGTTAACACACGGTCATGCATGAAAAAAAATACCGGCATGTACCGTGAAACCGGTATAATTTTGAAAAATACCGTGATAAATTTTTGCTCATACCGCCCAGCACTAATAGATGTGTTCTTTTTTCCTTCTAGGCACCATAATAAAATTCGCAGACTGGATGGGAAGCTGCTGCAGAACTTCACTGCTCTGGAGACTCTAGATCTGAGTAATAATGACATCACGGAGCTGAGGGAGCACTGCTTCCCTCCAGGGTTACAAATCAAGGACCTGTAAGAAACATACTCGTTCTCTTTCTTTCAAATAGATATAACTGTGAACATCTGTGTTTTCATGTAACAGTGTATTCTTTCAAAATCTGAAGTGTGATATTTCATCTCTGTAGGCACCTGAGCAGTAATAAGATTGTTCATCTGGAGTTCGGGGCATTTAAGAATCTTGCCGGGAGTCTGCAGATCCTAAAACTGAACCGGAACCGACTGACCCACCTTCCTGTTAAAGGCCTGGAGCTGCCCAAGCTCACACAACTGTGAGTGCACTACACTGTGTATATACACTACCGTTCAAAAGTTTAGGGTCATAAAGAATTTTTTTGCTTTTTTAAACAAATGTATATTTTTATTCAGCAAGGATGCCTAAAATTAATCAAGTGACAATAAGGACTTTTATAATGTTTCAAAAGGTTTCTTTCATACAAGTGCTATTCTTTTCATCTTCATTCATTAAATAATCCTGAAAAAAAAGGTATCACGTTTCCACAAAAATATTAAGCAGCACTATTGTTTTCAACATTGATAAGAAATTTTTCTTGAGCCTCAAATCAGTATATTAGAATAATTTATGAAGTATCATGTGACACTGAAGAATGAAAATTCAGCTATGAATTTACAGGCATAATAAATTAGATTTTTAAATGTATTAAAATTAATTATATATTTAATTTATAGTGTATTTTTAATTTATTTATAAATTATTTAATATTTAAATATATTAATATTTTAATAGTGTAATAATATTTCACAATATTACTGAATTTTTAGTTTTTACTGACCCCAAACTTTTGAATGGTAGTGTACATCATGTTTGATTATTAGCAGAGGTGTTTCAATAAATTTTTTCTTATGCGACAAAAACACTAGACATGTATACTGCAACTGTTTATGACTTGTTTGTATTAGTATAAAGACATTTGTCCAACTTATTGTGTAACAGCTTTTTATTATTTTTTTTATTTTTTTAAGAGTAGATATACTACTTTTAACTTACAAGTATTTGAGTAGTTTAAACTATATTTTATTATTCCGCAGCTTTGGAAACTACAGTTTAAAGTACCTTCTCTGATATTGGCTTATATTAAAAGTATCAGCATTCAGGATCAGAGAACCATTGGTAAACATCAGAGCAGGACAATTCTTTCTCACCATCAGATCTATGGATCTATCTGTGCCCTGAGCGTAACCATCTGTGCCTAAGCTCTTTGTTTCTGCTCATATCAGACTTCCATCAAAAATGTGCTTTGTTCTTCAGGTGGACAGTGATATTGAATCTTTGTATGCATGAGGCAACAAAAGCTCATATTAAACCTCTCACACACGTGTGCACACACCTGGAGGACATTTCAGCAACCACAAAGCCACAGCTATGTTGGTGAGCGAGAAGGATAGGTTAGTTATGACATCAAAGAGGGATCAGAGCCACTTTATTTGAACTGATGGTCAGCTGTACAATGCTGCACTCTTAAAAAAAAAAAAAAAGGTTACAAAAAGGAGGTTTTGCAGCACTGTCATTATAGGAACCATTTTAGGTTCCCCAAAGAATCTTTCAGTAAAAAGTTCTTAATAGAACCATTTTTTTCTCAGTATGAAGAACATTTTAATAATCTGAAGAACCTTTTTCCATCTTGAACAACCTTTTGTGCAATGGCCAGGTTCTATGGCTGTTAAATGTTTTTACCATAGATGCTAGGGATGCACGATATTGGATTTTTGCTGATATCCGATATGCCGATATTTTTCAACTCATCTTGGCCAATACCGATATATTTCCTTTTGTTTGGAAACAACACCAAGTCTCTCCTGTGCAGAAATTATAAGCAAAATATTTGTAATTGTAAGTTTTTAACAAGAACTTATTTGTTAAAAATAAACAATAATGAAGGTTTATTTTCACAGTACATTGAAGCTTTGAAAATAACTAAATAAACTATATATCAATCGCTGTATTTTTTCCCCCAGAAAGATGCAGTGTTAACCCTAACATTTTATTTTAAGATTTAACATTTGTAGATGGTCTGAAGCATAAAAAATTCTGAAAATCTTTTAGAACTTATGATTTGTTTAAAAAATAAAACATATTACACATTAATGAATAAATCGGTATATATAAAATTATTTAATTTACAAGTGTCATGTTTGTGATTTTTTTCATGTAAGCTATAGCTTCTGACCTTTAAATCAAAACATAGTCATTATTTTATGACATTAAATTACTGCTTTATTTAATCAGAAACAGTCTAAATGTTGTTATATGTAAACAGGCTATTTTACTTTTAATTTAATTAGAAGTAGGCCAACAGACTAAAACTCCTTACCGAACGGGCATTAGGACCCAGGGGAGATGCCGCTGCACGTGCTATTACTGTTTACTCTATCATACACTGAACGCCTCATTCTGTGCCTGCTTTCACAGATTAAATGTAGCGATCCAAAAGAGTGAATCTAATCATCATTCAGACAAAACTTTGCTTCAAGAATGAGCCACAATGCTGACTTGATCTAATCGCTGAGCACATATTTACGTATTCCTCTTATCGGCAAGACATATCGGCATACTTTTTCATATCGGGCCGATGGCGATATTTACATTTAAAGCCATTATCGGCCGATTCCGATATCAGTCCGATAATATCGTGCATCCCTAATAGATGCCAATAAACAACCGTTATTTTTAATTGTTTATGTCTTCACAATATCATGCATCATTTCTTCAAATACTTTAACCGTTTTGGTAATTGTGTGTTTTGTAGGGAGCTGAGCAGGAACAAGTTGCGGTTGATTGAGGGACTCACCTTCCAAGGTTTGAGCAGTTTAGAAGTTCTCAAGCTTCAGAGAAACAACATCAGCAAGTTGACGGATGGGGCGTTCTGGGGTCTGGCCCGGATGAGGGTTCTGTAAGTCCAAACCTTCATTACCACAGCCAAAAAAAAATTTACTATATAATTATTAACGTTTCTCACAATAGACCATTTATAATACATATAAATCAAATACACATCTACCACATTGCTCATGATGAGAGTGAACACTTTTTGTTTGTCATCTATAGGCACCTGGACTATAACAGTCTGCATGAGGTGAACAGCGGCTCTCTGTACGGTCTGGAGTCGCTCCTGCAGCTCTATCTCTCCAACAACTCCATCTCTAGCTTTAACCCTGAGGGCTGGGGCTTCTGTGAGAGACTCCGAGAACTGTGAGACATCACTCTCCTTATCAGTCTCCTCCTCCTCCTTATTTTTCTTTATAAATAAATATTTACATGTATTTTATTGTTTAATAGAATAATATAATTTTACTTAGCCTAAGTTCCTGTTTGTTCTTTAAACAAAATCTTACTTGCCCCAAACTTTTAAACGGTAGTATATATAACATAAAATAGATCTCAGTACAAAATATACAAGTTATTTTTTAAATTTGACACCTGGTAAAGAATTAATCGCACCCAATCTTTACATTACACGGAAGCATTTGTCCACAGTATCACCTACTGCACTAAACACACAGCACTCCTCGCCTTTCTGTAGATAAGCTCTGTTTATCCCCTAATGATGCACTGGATTGCCGGCGCTTAGGAGCTCAGCCCCATTTTCACTCATCTCTCCTGATGCTAGTTAAAGAAAACCGCGTAATCCTCCACGTATATGTGCGCCAAGTGTTACACAGAGATCTGTACCTGGGTGAAAGTGATCTTATCTGGGTGAATGTGTATACACTGGGCAGTCCTGTCAAGCGTATTGTGTCCTCCCTGTATGCGGTATCTTCCTCTATCTAACACTCTTCTCCGTTGTGGGGGTAACAAGGCTTTATTGGTAGGGCATGTTGACTGCGGTATCAGCTGAGTGGTCAGCCGTGATTTTGCAGATAGGTTTATGACACGGCTGTTACTGCATTCTGGACAAGACAGCCTTATGGGACGTCAGCCTGCTGTGATAAACTAAATTCTGGATTCTGACGAAGCTGACGATTGCAAAACCTAAATGCAGTTCTTGTTTGTTTTTCTTTTTTTTTCTCAGGAACTTGCCCTATAATAACCTGACTAAGCTGTCCGAGGGTGGCTTTGCCAAACTGGTGAACCTGATCTCGCTGCGTTTGGGACACAACTCCATCAGTCACATCACGGAGGGAGCGTTTAGAGGCCTTAGTTCCCTACGGACGCTGTAAGTGTCTTTACCCTGTGAGAAATCCTCTTGAATTTAGAATGAGACAAGCCTGCATGTGAAGAACACTTGATGGTGTCAAAGCTGTGGCACAGTGATTCGAGAGTCCACATGCCAAGCAGCTCTGTCACATTGAGTCATGGTGCTCATATGGGGGAACCAGGTTCAAGTCAATTCTGCCCTGATCACATTCCTAAAAATGTAAGTCATTCTCTACTATTTGTTTAATAAAAAAAGGAAAAAGTATAAAAGTAATAAAAATAGTGAAAAAAAATAAAATGGAAAAATAGTAAAAAAAAAAAAAAAAAATCTGATAAAAAAAAATAATGCCAATGGCAGAATGTGTTGCAACACAAACACAAGAAATGCACATTTTCATTGTAAACAGCTGATCCACAGTGTTCTTGAAAGCATTTCCCTTCTTGAAATGGGTAAACAAATCAGTCATAGTTTTAATTAACACTGTTGCAGAAGAACGTGTTGATTGATATAATAGCATTTGCTAAAGTAGCCATAAGCTATTAAGTCTGGTGAGAAAGCTTTCTGGTTTCTTTTCCACATTGTTTCCTTGTTGTTTCCCACCAAAGTTGGATACACATGTGCACCCTGCTCAAGGCCTCCTAGAAGAAGCTACGTCTTTTTTGTTTGCACACATTGAAAGGCATTATGGGGGACCAACTCTCCAGCCTGACTTCCAAAGACACAAAAAGTCTCAACCGCCACTTCATGCCCCCCTCTTTCGGTGTCTCAAAAGAGAAAAGAGAGAATTCTGCCTTTACTTTCTTAGATGAAGGCTTTTTCACAGTAGGGTGACAAGCCAAGGCACAACACAGCTCTCAGTGGATGGCAGTGGGCAGAGTGTGGGGGGAAGGGGCTTGCGTAGTGCAATTGTGAAGACCTCTGTTTTCTTTTGTTCCGTCCTTCCTTTATGTCTTACTTGCTTGATTTCCTTTATATCGTTCTCTTTCTCTCCCTCACTTGCTTTCTCGCTCTTATCCAAGCCAGTTCTAATCTAATCATGGCCTTAGTGCCTTACTGGGGCTCCTGTTGAAAAGAAGCAGGGGAGGTTTTAATTGGTACGCGCTTCTGGCTGGGCGAGAGGAGCCCTGGTCGGGTGTGAAAGACCAGAATCGAACCGTCTTTGAGCCGAGGGGGTGGGGGTCAGGCCTGGGGGCCTCCAGCCCTACTGTCATTAACAAGCCAGGGTCCATTCACAAGCAGCCAGCCAGAAAGAATAGGAAATTGGCAGCCGAGGCCAGGCATGGAGGGAAAGTAACAGAAAGAGCCAAGGGGGCGGTTGTCGGCTGGGAGGGAACGGGCACAATCCTTCCACCCTCTCACCTCAAAAAGGCATTTATTCTTTTTCAGCAACAGCGATCTTTCTAATGGCATAGAAACAAAGGGACCCCAAACAAAAATGCCATTGAATGTTAATACGCAGTGTTATTTTAGTGTAACTGAGATGCTATTTGAGTATGTTATTTGTTTTATATTTTGTTTTACTTTTTGTGCAATTTTCAGTAATGATGAAATTTGCCTCATGTAATCTACACATTCCCTAGCATATGTGGAAAAAAAAGAAGTATACTTTAGGCTTCAAGTGATAGGTTTCACTGAAATTTGTTAAAAACGTGGTTATTCGAATTAAAGGTCTGCCATGCCTGTCATGTTTAGAGATTTGCATCTGAAAGTTAAGGCCATATAGACAGGCCACTAGCACCATCCGGACATGTTTGTGACTTGTCTGAAGTTGTATTGTGCGATGTGCCCATATGCCTTTACCTGCCAACATAGTTCTTGCATTGACTGATTCAAACGGCTGTCAGACTGAGTATATGTGTGCAACTGTGTGAAAGAGTTGTTTTTGTGCAAGGTGCTTTCAGCTGTCATGCATTATTCATGCATTGGCCTGTGTGTTGTTGCGCTCCTTAATGTCACAATTCACAAATAAAAGAATGTGCTTGGTTGGCAGAGGGCAAAAGAGGGAGAGAGAGAGAGCAAGAGAGAGAGTGTTGTTGGACTTTCTTGTTTTCAACCAGGTGTCCAGGGCAGCTTTTGCCACTGCCGAACATCTGTCAGCTTAAAATAGATGTACATTTAAAATTAAATTACAATTTATAAAAAAAAAATGCATTTATTTATTAATTTATATTAAATATTCTAAAGAAAAATTGCAGATAAAAGTGCTTCATACAAAAGAATAAATAGCCTTCAAAAATTTCTATGAGATGTTCTCTTCATTAGCAGCAGTAACCAAGGTGGGTGGAGCTTAGCAAAGGGTCAGCTGTTCCATCCTCTGTCTTTTCTTCCTAATCTTTTTCTTTTTCTCTCTGCAGGGAGTTGGACCACAATGACATCTCCGGCACTATAGAGGACACCAATGGGGCCTTCACTGGCCTAGAAAACCTCCACAAGCTGTGAGTGTCACGCATTCTCCTTTATCTCTACCATCATCTTTACTTCTTCGCTTTAATTTTGGACATTCTTACATCGTGTGCAGCCAAAACAATTGACATTCCCAAAATCGTTCTCCACATTTAACATCAAACATACAAAATCAGGCCATGTCTGTCCATGACAATTTTAAGTTAAAAAGATGAGGAAGAGCAGGTAACCTCATCCCACACCCTACATGCAGTGCAGATTTGGGAAGGGAAGCTTTTTATAGTTGACCGAGTAGATTAGCTCTTGGCTTTGCTCTTGTGATGGAATCAGCGAGGGCATAAAATGGGAAGCAGGCAGAGGAGGGGGCTCCTTCAGACGCATCAAACGTCCCACTCTGCGCCTTTTGTTATGGGAGCAGAGGTTTGCAAATCTGCGGAAACCGCCTGTTGATGCACATCCCTGCCATAAATCCTATTCACCCATCCTGGGAATATGCGAGGGAGAATTAGGGAGCGATGTGCACAACATCAAAGTCTTTTCTGCTGTTTTGTTACCACAAGATGGGAACGGCAGTCGACTCTAGTTTTAGTATAAATAAAATCTAGATATTTTTTTTTTTATAATTTGCTTGTGGATCACTTGTACGCCCTAAATCTTCATGTAGAGATTCCATGCGCACCTGCTCGTGATGCAGTTAGCATGTATTTCAATGGTTTCTATTTGGAACCACAGTTTGGTCGGAGGTTGGTATGGAAGCCCAGGGCTCAAGACTGCCCAGAGGGTGACCTGCAGATGGGTGGTTGCTTCAGAAATGGTGGGGGGGCTGGAGGAGATGAGTGGAAGTGATATCTTAGTCTTGCAGGAGATGACAGATGCTGTCGCATACACATAGACCATCAGTCCGCTGACAGACACGGCAGGGGCTGGGCTTTCTGGGGTGATTCCCATAAGCACATAGTGAATAAACTAGTTGATCCTCATGAAACTTTACTCTAGCACTGACACTTTTTTGTTTGTTTTTGTTTATTTTATTATCATTTTTGACAATTCAATGAATGTTTAAATGGCTGTTTAAGATGATACATTTTGTTTTTGCACATGGTATAATTTTTTTTAGGGATGTCCAATTTTATACTTTCTAAAACTATATAAATTGTGTTTATATTGGTTTTTGTGTATTTTGGGACCATAGCAGCTGATAGTAATGATTTTTTGAGAACACTTTACAATAAGGTTGTTCACTATTGTTCACTAATATAGTTCACTATTAGTAACTTTAATAACAAAGGTAATATTGTTAAATGTAATCTTTAGCAAAATTTAAAAACAATTTGAAAAATCAATTTTTCATACTGTACATTCCAATGTTGTGATTCCTAAACTCACTTGCATTTAAAAATGATTTTATTTTTTATTCATTTAGACAAAATATTTGTAAAAAGATTTTTATAGTTTTGTATAGATTTTTAACATTGGCCATTTATCGGATGTCAGCCTTAACGTGAAAATAATTACCTGATTATCAATATCAGTTAGAATTTTAATATCAGTGCATCCCTACTTTACAGATATAACATTGTAAAATAGTTTTTTCATTTTTCATTTAACAGTGCAATATTACAATGTTGTGATGTCTAAACTCACCTGTAGCATTTAAAAGATGGATTTAGGTTTAATATTTATTTATTAAAACAAAATATAGATTTTAAAACAGTATATATATATATATATATATAAAAAAAAATTTTATATCAATCTTTTATCGGTTATCAGCCATAATATGAAAATAATTCTCAGCTTATTGATATCAACTGGATTTTTAATATCTGTGCATCCCTGCTTTTTTCTGTTGCTGTGAAGGTCTTGTTTATCCCAGCATGCAGCATCTCCTGACACGCCTTAGGATTGTGAGCCAATATCCACCGACTCACAGCCAATAAGATTATCCCCTGATCAAAATGACAACATTGTCAGGTGTCAAATCTGGTTTATATGAGGAGGTGCTGGCTTTCACGGTGCTGACTGAGGAGTCTTGCACTGTCAGGGGCTTGTTTTGGTCCAACATGCTTAAAATGTAAATCGTGTCATCGTTTGGGGGGGGGTTACATCCCGAAGGAGCCTGTTCCCCTTCACCTTCCCGCCATGTGTGTGTGTACACCTGCTTTTGAAGTGCGAGCAGGATTAGCCCCTACAAGGCGTTTTAACCAGAGCCTTGACAAGGCCACTTTTATTACTATACAAGCCATGCTGTCCTCCAGCCACTGAAGCTCCTTTTTATGTGACCTCGAGCTCTGGGCTCTACCCTGTCATCACTATTAAATTCTAATAAAGATAAAAGTAAGCTTTGAAGAGCTGCGCCGGCCCCCGATTCCTCACCCTCCTCCTAATCTCTACACAGTTCGGATTTCCAATCCCAAAATCCCCCTCTCTTATCAGATTCAGCTCAACTAATTGTGCACTCTCTTTCTCTCTCTCTTTCCTCTCACCCTGCGTGTCTGGAAACGGCAGAACTCTGTTTGGAAACAAGATCAAGTCGGTGGCCAAGAAAGCCTTCTCGGGCCTGGAGGCTCTGGAGCACCTGTGAGTATCCCGCAATGCCGTTCGGCCCATACAGCAGGGGCTGCCAAAAGTAAATGCTTAAGAGGGCTGCTAGCAATTTAATAGTGTCATTGTAAAAGGAGAGGACGGGGTGGTTTGCAAGGCCATCTGCTCTTGTCTCGCTAGAGCCAGCTTTAACTTGCACAGGAACACAGTTATGGAGCATATGGTCAGTTTCGTAGAAGAAAAGGAATTTTTAAGCACTTCTGCAGATGCTGTAACTCCACGTCTGATATTGGAGTTTTTCCACCTTGTTCAGAGTTATCCCGTATAAAAATAGGCTACGGATTTGCATGCGAGCTCAGCAGCTGAATGTGAACATTCCCATGTTCTCTTTCTGTCACACCTGAGGGCCCTGTTTAATCTCTCAACAGGAACTTGGGGGAAAATGCCATCCGCTCCATCCAACCCGAGGCATTTAGTAAGATGAAGAACCTGCGTTACCTGTGAGTCCCATTATTACACATGCTCCTTTTCACACGCACATCCACTCACCCGGTTCTAATGTTTCTCGACATGAATGTTTGGATGACAGTTAATTGTCAGACAAATAAAATGCATAGTTTCCTGAGGCTTAAAGGAAATAGTATGCCATGACTAATGCCAATTTAAATATTAAAATATTTTAAGAGCACTTCAGTCCACTTTTCAGATTTTTTTTTAATTCACGTACCTGAGATTTTTATTTATTTATTAATAATACTATTATTTAAATATACACTACAGTAAGTTTTTTTTAAAAAGAGAAATTAATATTTATATTTTGCAAGAATGCATTAAATTGATCGAAGTACAGTAATAACACTGTTTCTATTTCAAATAAATGCTGTTATTTTCACATTTCTGTTAATCAAGGAATCCTAAAGAAAATGTATCACATTTCCTCATAAATATTAAGCGGCACATCTTTTTACTGTATTTTGAATAAATAAATGCCGTTTTAGTGTCCACTTTTTATGTTAGAGTCCACAAGTTTTTTGGACGCTACAATGCAACTGGACGTAAATGTGCAAATCATCTCCATCAGTGTTTACAGTACAGATGCATGCTAGCTGGCTTTTACTAATCTTTCTTTCGATCCCTCTCTCTACAGTCATATTCAGAGTGATAGTTTTCTGTGCGACTGCCAGCTGCATTGGTTTCCCGAGTGGCTGGTAACACGAGGGCTGAAGCCTGGCGTTCAGGCCACATGTGCCCACCCAGAGAGCCTAAAGGGCACCAGCGTCTACCAGGCCCCACCACAGAGCTTTGTTTGTGGTAAGCAGTGCTATATTGTCTATAACAAACAAAGAAGTCAATCACAATAAGGAAGAACATAATCATAAGGCGTGTTAAAATGTCTCTGTCCTTGTACTTCCCTCCAGATGACCTTCCCAAACCCCAGATCACCGTCCACCCTGTCACCACGGCAGCAGTATTGGGCAAAGATGTGCGTCTGACCTGTACGGCCGCCAGCAGCAGCAGCTCGCCCATGACCTTCACCTGGCTCAAGGACCAGGAGACGCTACGTCAAGCCGAGGTGGAGAATTTCGCCCACGTACGGGCCAGTGACGGAGGTGTAATGGAGTACACCACTATCCTCCACCTCCGGCACGTCACCTTCAACCATGAGGGCCGCTACCAGTGCATCATCAGCAATCACTTTGGCTCCTCTTACTCTAACAAGGCCCGCGTCACTGTAAACGGTACATTTAACCAGTGTAAACTATATACTGGTACTCTTCTACATACATTTTCCACTTTAGTTGGGTATGTAATGGGTTCCTCTACAGTTGGAAATGTATACAGTGGGGCAAAAAAGTATTTAGTCAGCCACCAATTGTGCAAGTTCTCCCACTTAAAAAGATGAGAGAGGCCTGTAATTTTCATCATAGGTATACCTCAACTATGAGAGACAAAATGAGAAAAAAAAATCCAGAAAATCACATTGTAGGATTTTTAAAGAATTTATTTGCAAATTATGGTGGAAAATAAGTATTGGGTCAATAACAAAATTTAATCTCAATACTTTGTTCCAGTTCCCATCACGCACAGATCGTTTAGTCTAGTGAGAGCATTTTGTACAAGCTGACATTTAATTGTCATACAAATAATAGCAATTATTAATTTGTATTTTAAATGTCAGTGTGTGTGCTTAATTCACAATAATTGTAATTTATTTACCATTTATAACTTTTAAACAAATAATAAAATGTGTAATTTCCTTTAAGGCTTAAAATAGTAATGTTTAATACATATTTTAATATATAAATATTTTAAATAACTTTTTTTTTTTTATATTAAAATATTTTAAATGTTTAAAATGCATAAACATTTTAAATTAATAAATAAAAATACTTTTGGTTCAACTTAAGTACACTTTTCATTTGTAGAGTCGTGGCCAAAACCGTACAAATCGCTTTTTTTTTTTTTTTACCCAGCTACCTGAATATAATATTTTAGTAATTTATTATATTATTATACATGTATATAAAAGTCAAATTACTCACTTTTCAAGGTAATTTTAAGGCCGTTCAATTTGTAATTTGTAAAACATACAAGTCACACCAGTGGCACAAAATTCCCATTATGCAACATTTGCTCAGAGCAGTGTTAATTTCATTCGTCAACGACATTTTTTTCACCGACGATAACAAACTAAAACGCTTTTTGAATGACAAAAACTATGATGTAAATCTATTGACATTTTCGTCAACGAATAAAAACGAGACGAAAATGTTAGGGAGGGACGATTTGGGAAGAGATTCATTCAGAACTAATTTGCAGCGTGGTTCGGAGGTTAGATGCATACATAAGAACCGGCGGGACATAAGCTAATATGCACTTGGTTGCTGCATGTTGCATATAATGTTCAAAGATGTCAATATGTGGGAGTAAGAGAAGAGCAGACATATGGATAAATCTGACGACGCAAGAGAGAACTCAATTCGGTCCGGTTTTCTGAGCGCAGACACTGAAGCATACACACAGAGAAAGCGCGTCTCACAGCGCGTGAGTACTCTCTCGTGTCGCATGAACGGAGAATTACACACAAAATGATGTTGAATTGTCCGTTTTGACAAGTATTCACATAAACGGAGTTGATTACGTCTTAAGTGAACGTAAACAGTAGGGAGAACGTGTATCAGTACATTGCATCCATTGCAGCTGTGCATTCGGTTTTAAAGGGATAGCAGCCTAATTTAGTTGCTATTGTCCGAGTCATTGATGTTAATCAAGCAACAAAAGAAAGACAGAAAATCACGCACTGCTCTTGACTGAAAAACTTTAGTAGCCCTAAAGATGAATCTAAATTTATTTATAGAAATAAATATGTCTGCTTGAAAGAATGAAGAATATTATAAACAAGTTGCTATAAAGAATGCGTAATTAGCCTATATAACCATTGGTATTTCATTAAAAAGAAGACCATGTTCTTGTTTCTTTATGAGAAGTGGTTTTATTTAATTTTAACATAAAGGCATGTTGTGTGTCACCGCAGTTCAATCGGTGTCTATTATGATAAAACCTTCATATCAAACCTATATAATGAGTTTTAGAGAAATTCTTAATAAATGCACTGTAACTAAACCCATTAGATTTTAGCCGACTAAATGTACTGTATATTTAGTAGACTAAAATCTTATGATATGTAGTTGACTAAAACAATTCAGATGACTAAAATATGACTAAAACTAAATGGCATTTTAGTCAAAAGTCTATGACTAAAACTAAATCAAAATTTGCTGTCAAAATGAACACTGGCTCAGAGTTTTTCTTTCAGTGAATTTTCAGTTGAACATTCAGACTGAACTGCGCCACTAGAATTTTGGCATTTTTTAATCTTCTCTGCTGTTAGCAATACATTTGAATTACACGCCTTGTCAGTTCGAGCAACAGATGCAAATGGATTGTCCTGAGGCATTTTTGGTTTCATGCCCGTCCAAATCAAGCCATTTCCCATCACCAATTGAGTTCGTCACAGCTATGAATGCTAGGCTTGTTTGGTGCTGGTGTAGCAACATTATGGGAATAATCCTTGCTAGGGCTAATTTCCCTTTGCCTGCTTATGCGCACAGTGCTGCCTTCATTTGTCAAGACCCCACGCGACATCACGATCCGCACGGGCACGAAGGCAAGGTTGGAGTGTGCGGCTGAAGGACATCCGACTCCCCAAGTGGCGTGGCAGAAAGATGGCGGTACAGATTTCCCTGCCGCCCGAGAGCGCCGCATGCGTGTGATGCCTGATGACGATGTCTTCTTCATCATGGACGTGAAGCCTGAGGATATGGGGGTGTACAGCTGCACGGCAAAAAACACGGCGGGCATGATCTCTGCAAACGTCACTCTAACAGTGCTAGGTACGTCCATTTTTTAAATATTTACTTTATATAAATACATTATATAAAGACTTTTTTTTGTCCCATTATGGAATTCAGATTTTGTTTACTAAGCTGTTGGAGTTCTGCTAACCCCTGCTTAGTTCTACGTAAGAATGTTTTTTCTTTCCCCATCTGAAGCAGCTGGGCTTTATGTGCGGGCTTGAAGGTGAAAGAGGTCACAGGGGGTAGAGGAAGTGCTGAAGGCTCACATAGTGGTATTTTTGAGTGTTTCTGAACTCTCAATTGAGTAATTGCTAGGCAGAAATAGTCAAATACTTGTTATTTTGTGGACATGATGTGGTATAGTCTGCCTAAAGTGGGCTTTGTTTTTGATTCACTAAAAAGAATAGGCTCAAGGGGTCAGACTAAATACTGAACCAGACTACATACTGGTCGCACTGGAAAATAACCCGTTTATAAGAGTCATTCATTCAGAAATAAGACTACAATGGCCCCACTGTATGTTTTTGATTCACTAAAACGAAATGGCTCATAAGAGTCATTAACACCAATGTCATGCCATTTAAAGAGATCTGTATCTACACATGGTTGTATGTAATTCAATAACTCTTCCCTGTGATCTTCCTGCAGAAACCCCTCATCTGGCACAGGAAATGGAGGATCGAAATGTGGTGGTGGGTGAGACCGTTGCGTTGCAGTGCAAGGCTTTAGGCAGCCCACCTCCTCGCATCACCTGGCTAAAGGGGGAGGAGCCTCTCAGACCCAGCGACCGTCACTACTTCACTCCAGGCAATCAGCTCTTGGTGATCGGCAGCACCACCTTAGAAGATGCTGGACGCTACACCTGTGTCATGTCCAACACGCTCGGCACAGAGCGCGCTCACTGCCAGCTGAATGTTTACCAGCGATTTGAGGATTGTGCGCCTTTTTCAAGCCCCAGCACTGTTACTGTGGGAATCATCGTCATCGCCGTGGTCACCAGTATTGTGGTGACGTCACTTGTTTGGGTGTGTATTATCTACCAGACGAGGAAGAAGAGCGAGGAGTGCAGTGTAAACACAGGTGCGTGTATTCTCACAAATATTGTATTTGTTTAGGGCTCTGCATGTTGTGCAGGAGGAATGTATTTTTTACACAAGGCTTGTCTATAATCTTTGCGCTTGCCTTTTACAGACGAGACAATTGTCCCTCCTGATGTCCCCAGTTACCTGTCCTCTCAGGGCACTTTATCAGAGAGACAGGACGCGTGTATACGAGTGGAGTCCAATGGTGGATCTCAACCCAACGGACGCATAGAAAACAATGGTACAGTATCCACACTTTTCTTGTAGGTCCAAATGGTATCTACTGACTTTTTTTTCTGACCAGATTTTGAAAGAAATATTCAAAATGTGTTAAATGGAGAGTAATGGCAAGAAAAATACGCTCTACTTGGCAGCTAAATTATCAAACATTACAAGGTCAAAACTGTTTTTTTAAAGAATACGTATGAGTTGTTCACAGTAAGATCTATACATGCATTTACAAATTAAATGAATAGGTGAATTTTCATGTCATGCCGACTTAAAAAAAAAAAAAAAAGCTGGCTGTTTAAATGACCTTCACTTAACATAGATTAATGAGCTCCTCTCATTTCAGGCTATGATGAGCCAGTCGTGTGTACAGACTGCTTGGAAAACGGTACCAGCTACTCCAAACACTGTAACTACCTCCCTCACGGGATAGCGCTCCCTTCAGGCCTGGAGTATCAGCAGGCACACCAAACATCAACTTTCACCAGCCACAGCAATGAACCACACTGCAATGGCACACCCAACGGGGTCAGGAAAGACAACCAAACTCCCATCTTTCCCACCAACCACGACAGGGTGACAATATCACCCTCATCGCACCAGTACAACGACCGAAAAGGTGAGAACGAGGAAGAAACGGATTCACCAGTCTTTCATGCCATAACTTCAAGAAGACTCAGTCATGCCCCATAAATCACTATTCCTGCCACTGCTTTGATTGATTGATTTATATCAGATTGTTGATCTTTGACGTAATACAGTGATAATATTCCTTGTTTTTCACAATTAGATCAGTCTTTGACATCACTTCCTTTCTAATCTTTCTCAGGATTGTTGGTGATTAGGTCAGACACACCTCCCTCACTTGAAGAGAGCTACCATCGGCCAGTAAAGCTCCTGTCTGGGGACTGTGACATTGGGTCCGAGCTTAAACAGACTCCATTACCCAACGGACACGCGCATATGCCCGATGCCAGCTCAAGCGAGAGCGAATCCTTCAGACGGGCCAGTGACTAATGCCTCACCAACCCTCTTCTTTATCCTTTTGCACTGAGAACTGCTACCTCACACTGAGGGGCACAGACAAAGCTGCCCCCATTCATCTAAATGCAGAATTGGGGTGTCCGGAGTTTGAAGGCGAAGCTTGAGTGGGGCGATGATGTCCCATGCGAGCGTTAATGATGTATATAGATATAATCCTCCTCAGGGAGGCTTTGTTCACACTTCAGAAATGTGACTTGCATTTGATGCATGCAAAATGTATGACAGAGTGCTATAACATTGGACTTTGAGCTGTACATAAGAGTTTTCATATATAAATATATGAATGTACGTATTCTATAACTTTTACAAAAGAGTGTTTAACTCTATTCGGTGCATGGTGAGATCAGAGTGGCTTTATTTTATTTTTATTTCTTAGCTTTTTTTTTTTTTTTGTGAACAGATCTCTCCTAGTTTTCCCAGTTTTATGAGCAGTGCCTTATTGCAAGATCAAAGGATCCACCAGTCAGTTGTTTGTTGGGAGGTGTCTGTATACTTTCCCTCTCACAAATGGGAATTTTGTCATGCACTTGAAGTTTAGACAACCCAATCATAATAGATCACCTTAAAGGAATATTCCAGGTTAAATACAAGTTAAAGGGTTTTTTAGAAATATCAGGGAATTTACTTTGTTTGTTCTTGTTTTATTTTTTTGATGACTAGAAACTAATATCATCTACAAAAATAGAAAAGTCTTGGACATTTCTATAGTGAATATACTATACCATTCAAAAGTTTGGGGTCAGTAAGAATTTATTTTTAAGAAATTAATACTTTTATTTAGCAAGGATGCATTACATTGATCAAAAGTGACAGCAAAGACATTTATAATGTCATATGCTGTTCTTTTGAACTATTAACATTTTTACTGTATTTTTGATCAAATAAATGCAGCCATGGTATGAGAATAAAAAATTAAAAAAAATCGACCCCAAATGTTTGAACAGTTGTGGAATTGTTTTGTGAATTTATATTTACAGAAAAAAAAGACATTTCTAAATGTATATTTATATTTCTGAAGTGTTTAATTGGCTACGTTTTCTGTTGTTGTTGTAAATGCTATCTCTATAAATGATGTTTAAGTAATTATGACTGGAAAAATTATGAAAATTCACAGTTAAAAAGGTGTTAAAAACTCTTTATAAGCCACAGCATATATGGCTTTGCGTCAGTTTACCACAAAAATATCATTTAAATTTGTACTTCAGTTTGTAAAAACAAACACAAAATGTGTGTACAGAAAGGCATTCACAACAGACAGCAAACGATTGTATTTGTCATCACTAACTGCTGTTTAACCTGGAATATTTCTTTTGTCAGAATTGATATGTTCTGGTCTGTGATGAAGGAAGAGCTCTGCATCCATTATGGTACAAAAATGACGAATATTGGCATATGGGAAAATATAAGCACTTTGATAAATCATGTGAGTCATTATTTGAACTAAACATTTTTACATCTTGAGATTCTGATGCAGTCGAGGCTCTTCCGTTAACAAAGCTACACGTCACCAAAAGCTGCTTCACTCACCTACATACCTGTGCTATTTGAAATGAATTTTTAAATGTATTTGTTGACCGTCTTTTTTTAACATATTTGGGGAAATAACAAATTATCCAAAAACAAATACTTACAGAGAGATTCGTTCTAACAATGACTTTCTAACAGTGACATTAGACGTTCGTATGCCAAATCACGAAAGGGAAAGAGCGTCTCTAGAAAACTCAAGCTGCGTGTGCTGGTCTCCAACCACACAGAATGTCTTCACGTAAAGGGAACTAGCAGGAATAAGTGAAAACCTTGTCCGATAATCTCTCGTAGTCTTTGGTAAAGACTAAAGCAGCTAATGCCAAGATACGTTTATTAGTTAGCCTGAGCCAAACTGGTTCATGTCGACAAGCCGAGTTTTTTTTTAGGCCAAATAGTAAAAAAAAATGACATTAGACGTTCGTATGCCAAATCACGAAAGGGAAAGAGCGTCTCTAGAAAACTCAAGCTGCGTGTGCTGGTCTCCAACCACACAGAATGTCTTCACGTAAAGGGAACTAGCAGGAATAAGTGAACACCTTGTCCGATAATCTCTCGTAGTCTTTGGTAAAGACTAAAGCAGCTAATGCCAAGATACATTTATTAGTTAGCCTGAGCCAAACTGGTTCATGTCGACAAGCCGAGTTTTTTTTAGGCCAAATAGTAAAAAAAACACTACTACTAAACTAGGTGAATGTTTTAGAAAGTTAGATTACAGCAAACACCAAGTTTAACCCAAAAAACTGTTGAAACTGACCATAGCAGTACATTGATACTGTGGTTAAATGGTTATGTGTGTAATCCAGCTCTGTGAAGAGCCCCACTAATTCAAACCGGTTAACTCTACAGATGTGTGGGTCACCCTGTTTCATACCGGATTCATTTATTGAACTGAACTCTAATCACAGCTGTTCACCCACGTGGCTAAAACTGTTGAAGTGTCAAAATGGCAGGTGTTTATTAAAGTCACATTTTGCTCTTTTACACTCTCTGGTTTGCGTGTTTTTATTTTGATGCACAGTGGTTGAAATGACTTTGTATGAATAGGGTAAGTTAGTGCCCCCTCACATTTCTAAGCAACAGAAGCACAAATCCGTTTTTTGGGAATGAGATCTATTGAGACATGTTCGATAAACTACCAAAAATAATAACAACATAGCATAAATAGCTTTAAATATATAAAATGATTCTCCCGATTTTAGCTAGTCTGACTTTAACTGGTCTTGTCCTTCTCAACTCTTTATTAAATATTAAAATATTTAAAATAATCAGAATTGATCAATTTTTTTTTTAAATAGAGTAAAAACTAATATTGTGAAATATATATAAAAATGGTTTTCTATTTGACATACGGACATAGGTATGTGCTCTCTGTCCAAACACTCAACTCAAACTTTTATAAGTAAATGTGTAAAATGACAAAAGTACACCGGAATGAGTAACAGGGTTGCAAATGTAGCTAAACGTAACATTTTCAACATCATTACCCCAGTCTTCAGTGTCACATGATCCTTCAGAATCATTCTAATATACTGATTTGCTGCTCAAAAAACATTTTGGATTATTATCAGTGTTAAAAACAGTTGTGTATTTTTACACATCAACTATATCACTTGTGATCTGTTGATCTTCACTCGTTCAGCAGTATTGTTTGAGCTGTGTGTTTGGACAGAAAGCACATACCACTGACAGCCACAGAACTGGAAGGCCCACTGCTGCTCCAGTATTGTTCTTGTGCCCTGAACTTCATGACAGGTCTGAGAAACATTCACACCTGTGGACTTATCTGTCTTTCTCTGCATTCTGCTTGACTCTCACTGTGTGTTTTTCAGCTAATAATAGTGAAGCAGGTAGAGCAACTAGCTTAAGCTTGGGGATCAAAGTCTAGACTCAACATGTTACAATAATCCACTGGAGTAATATTGGTAGCGCCCTTAAACTTGTTACATATTAGTGCATACTTGAGTTTAGTATATAAATACCAGCGCAGTCATATCTTAATACAAATAGCCGATTCACTTTTGTAAAAATACTTTTTTTAATAGATCCATGTAGGCTTGCAAAAATGACATCTGAGTTTGAACTCGATCTGTGGTGCAACATAAGTGGAATTCAGGCAGTTAAACTCAATCTGTTGTGCACTGATGATCAAGAATGCAAACCACTGTGTTATGTGATCTTTTTATCCAGGCACCAGGTGTCCTCGCTGTGGCCCTCAAGACCACCGGTTCAAACTGGGACAGAGGGTGTGTGCGTTTCTCGGTCAGATTTGACCAACCTCCACTCATCTGTAGTTTACTATTTGCTCCTGGTCTCTGACCTTGTTTTGCAGTTTTGGCTGTACAGTCAGAGTTTGGGTTGAGGAAACGGGTCCAGTACAAACTGACCCACACCGTCCATGACGACGGTGTTTATAAAAGCGTACGGCGCACTTTCTCATATGCTCCGAGGAAAATGAAGCCTCCCATGCTGATGAACGTCACTCTGGGGATGCTGCCGGCGAACAGCCTTCAGATGTGATGAGAAAACATAAAAGCAAGAGTTAGCAATAACCGTCTTTTCACACTAGTAATTAATTTCAAAACATGGTGATTATTCAGTTATGAACAGATCAATTAAATTACATTCAAAGACATTATTATAGCAAAGTCATAAATAATTTGTATTTTTATTCCCATATATATATTTTCATATATCATTGGTCTATAGTCCACAGCAATTGACCCTATAGGCTGGGACTTGATTGACAGGTGATCTGACCAATCATAACGCAGAATCAGCCATTTTGGCCGACAAAAAAAAAAAAAACAGACAGCAGAGTAGATTAATGTTGGTAGACTATAATTTAAAAAATGGTGTGTACTGACATCTTTCCATGGTTGAAACAAGATATCTTCTGATGTTCATTCATGTTTATTTCGTGCTATAACTAGTAGGAAGAGATGATCGTGATCTGTCACGACTCAAAGAGCCACAAAACGGTATTTATTGTTTGAATTTCTCAAGACAAAATTTGAAAGCTGACACGGTTTCATACCAGAAGTCACATGCTCTGTCTTGACTGTCGGCGTGTTGCAAGTGTGCTCTTTGCTCTGCCATTTACTTTTGTAATGCAAAAATACATCACAATGTAAACTTGCTTTTATTCCGAACAGGTGCCATTATTAACAAATACTGGAACCCAATGACATTAATGGTTCTCATACATGTATTTAAATGTACAGCACAAAAATGATCTGATTCCTGAATGAATGAATCATATGGTTCTTTTTACTGAATTAAAACATACAGCGCAATCAGTAGTTCAACTCCTGAATGAATGACTCTTACCAGACGGTTCTTTTAAGCACATCAAAACACAGTGCAAGTCAGATTCCCAAATGTATGACTCTTACAAACTGGTTCTTTGTAGTGAGTCAACAGTCCGATTCCCAAGCTGACTCTTATGAATCAGTCCTTTTTAGCAAATCAAAACATACATCACAAACAGTAGAGTCCGATTCACAAACGAATGACTCTTAAGAGACAGTTCTTTTTAGTGAGTCAAACATACAGCACAACCAGTATAGTTCAATTCCCGAACATATGACTCAAACAAACTGGTTCTTTGTAGTGAGTCAAAACATTTCACAACCAGTATAGTCCGATTTCCAAATGAATGATGATCCTTTTTAGCGGATTGAATAT